GAAAGACTTCCAACTATGGGATATGTGTTAAAGGAGCAAATTGTTGTGATGTGGTTGATGAGCCAGACTTTTATGGTATCCTCCAAGACATCATGGTGTTAGAATACCACGGTTATATTGGTTTGAAGATAGTTATATTTAACTGTGATTGGTTTGATCCGACCATTGGAAGGGGTATGAGAAGAAATGGATCGGGCGGTTTTGATATCAACTTATCCAAGAAGTATTCAAAATACGATCCGTTTATCCTATCTTCTCAAGCGGATCAAGTATGTTACATAAGTTATCCAACGTCCAAACGACGTCGAGATCATTGGAGAGCTGTCATTAAAATTCAACCACGCGGTGTTGTTCGTGAAGAAGAAGGTTCAACCGATATTCCATTTCAAGAAAGACGCATTGATGATGATATTGGTCGACAATTTTGTATTACGTATTCACAGAACGAGCAACTTGTTGTATCAAACGAAGAGGATGTTGAATACGATAATTTAGTTGAGGATGAAAGAAATGACGACATTGAAGATAAAGAAGAAGTTGAAGTAACAACCGATGAGGATAGTGATTAAATTTTATGTAATTACGAAATCTTTTTTTAAAAAAAAATTAACATAGTGACGCATCTGCGTCACCAAAAGGATTAATATAGTGACGCTATTTCGTCACTAACTACAAATGGTGACGCAGTTTCGTCACCCACATAGGTGACGCATTTTCGTCACCCCGTTAGCGAAACGTCACCTCTACCGTTACTTGTTGTACACGTGGCACATATGGTGACGAAATTTCGTCACCATTTGCTCAGGGTGACGCAAAAGCGTCACCAACAGCGTCTTTTTTTTGTGACGAAATTGCGTCACCCTGGTGATTTTACCGAGGTTAATTACTGCGGTGGGTGACGAAATTGCATCACCAACGTTTACGGGTGACGCAAAAGCGTCACCAACAGCGTCTTTTTTGGTGACGATATTGCGTCACCCATATGGGTATATATACAGCGTGACGCAATTGCGTCAATCCCACAAACGACCCTTTCCCTCCTCCTCCCCTCAAGATCCGAAGGTAAAAAAAAAAAATTTAATTTTTTTTAAAATTTTTAATTTATAAATTGATATATTTATAATAATTAAAGTTTTAAATAAATTACAGATGAGTCGTTCTTTCAGAAGGGGATCACGGTTATCAGGCGAAAGATCTCAACATCAGAGATCTCCGTCAATTGATATGGCTGAATCTCAACCGCAACCACCAACGCAGGTTACAATTGATAACGTGGCTGAGGTATTAGATAATCCTGCAAGAATTTTGTTACCGAAACTGGATCCGATAAAAAATCCAGGAACAAAATGGTAATTTAAATTTCAATATTGTTATTTTAAATATTTTATTTAAATATAAAAATTTAATTAAAATTGATTAATTTTTTTTAGGTTTGGTGTTGATGTTGAGATAACCACCAATTTATCAAAATTCATCAAACAAAATTTTAAAGGTGCTTATCTTAATTGGAGTACGATCCCACAACCTACCAAAGATTCGTGGTGGTTAAGTTTTGTGGTAAGCTTTTTATATTTATAAATACATATAAAATTAAATTTGATTTTATTATTTATTTAATTTTTTATAAAAAAATTTATATAGCAACAATGGCGTTGGGATCCTGAGCATGACGCACTTGTTCGGCGCAAGTGGAAGGAGGCTGTAATTCGTCTAGTGAAAGCCAGAGTTCACAAACTCAAACAAAAATGGCTTTCTGAACCCTATATGG